TGTGTGTGTGTGTGTGTGTGTGTGTGTGTGTGTGTGGATGTGTGTGTGGATGTGTATGTGGATGTCTGTATACATAAATAATTATAACAGATCTCAACGGGATGGCACCATCTCCTTCAACAATTCTTTCTGAGACATCAAGGTCGCATACCGACCGATATAACATTAGTTTCTCTTCCAATGAGGTCTAAACTACATTTCAAACCATGCATGCCTTTATAAGAAAGTTACATTTTCCTTTGTTGGAATTTTTGGAGAATTTTCGGATTTAAGGTAAACAAGAATAAAAAACATCATGTTACAAATGTATTCTCTTTTTCCCAGAAAATCTTTCTAAAGTTTTTTTTGGTATGAGAATTAATTCAACTATGTTTCTCCAAAGACTTCGAACAAAATTTTTGGAAAATTTTTTGAAAAATTCATTTTCCTCATCTACAGCCAAAACAAATTGAAAATTTCTTCATCCCAACCGTTCATTCCTATTTGAATTTCCTTCACAATTGAAGAATTCAATTAGAATTTAAAAATAAAGGACTTTTTTGGAAATATATTTTTCAGGAAGAAGAAAGCAGGATGGACTTCATTATTATTGCCAATAGTCAATAAATTATTACAATAACAAAAAAAAATTGACGGAAGAATTTTCAGGCATGACTGGAAATTTATTAAAACTCATAAAATTCTGTTAAAAGTTTGAAGATTGAATGATGCCTAACTCCGACTAGTTCTTAATCTTGTTTTATTTGTTTTTATTTTTTTCCATGAAATCTAATAAAATAAGTAAAATTAGTTCCCACTCAACACGCTCTTCGCCAAATACATTTTCTAGCTTCAATGATTCTTGAATTTCTCAATTCTCAAACAAATTCGAACACCTCACGGTCCCTTCTTTAATATAGACACATTTCAAAGATATATATTTTTTACTTGAAATTTCCACTTTCAAAAAAACAAAAAAAATTGTGTTTTATGCTAAAATGACAAGAAATGAATGAAGCAAAAATTGGTTTTATACACTTTACTGCAAAATTTGTCTTTGATAGCAAATCTCAAGTCTCTCCATATTAGCCGAAAAGGAAAAAGATCATTTGGATGAATCCGATAAACGCTTCCTGAGATAAATGAAAAGCGATGGTAAGTAATTGAGTTCAGTCTTGCAAAGCGTACTTACCTGAGAGGCGATCAGGTAAATCCCATACAGAAGTAAAAAAAAAATTGATGTTTAAAAATGCGGCACAGAAGATAAAAGAACCGCTTGCATTTCCTTTATATTCGTGTGAAGCATTCAATCTTTTCCGACACTCTTTGTATTGCTTTTGGAGAAAATAGAAAAATGTTCAAGCAGAATCCAATCCAAACAACCATTTAAATGACGGTGCATTCGCTTAGCAATTCCGAGCCTTTCTTTTGCCTTTTATTATTGCTTTGTTCGTCCCTGCGACAATTCCGCACCACGCAATCCGTGTTGCACTGCTCGTTGCATGCAAAATATTGCACTTGAAGGCACAGTGAAATTCAATCGAGAATTAGTGTCAGATTTATGTTTTTTTGTTGGTGAATGTGGTGGGCGATGTCAGTTAGGTCAAGGTAATTCTCCTTCGTTTTCTACTCATTTTTACAGTATTTTCGCTTTCTACTTTATTACAATGCCATGTCATTTGTATTGTGTTGCTCACAATCTCTGTCATTTCTTCATTCATTAAATTTTCTAAATTTCACTTACTTTTATAATGTTTGTTAATTGCTATCGTACATGCTATTTTATAAATCTTACATGATCTTACTTTCACACTGTTTGTAGTACCGTTTAGTCATACTTAATATCCTTTCAATTTCTCCATTTCTTATCCAATGTTTTCCGTTTATCAATTTCGTTTTTTGACGAATCAGTGGTGCGTAAAGGATAATGACATGAAAAGATATATTTCAGATATGAATATGAGCGATTTAATAGATCTCACCTATGCTGGCATTATTATAGTCGGCGGTTTGGTTGGCTACTTCAAAGCAGGTCATTTTACTGCTTTTTCAATTATTTTTGTACATCATTATGTGTATCATCCGAGGTTAATTGGTTGTTTGAATCACTCAAATTCTTGTGACTGCTATGTTTGCTTAGGAATTGTAGTAGTTTAATGTAATTAGTGGAGAAATTCGATGTAATAAGGAGTGAGTTTTTCTATTTCAGGCAGCACCGTATCACTGGCAGCTGGACTCGCTTTTGGAGGCGCTGCAGGTTTTGCTGCTTATTTCAAAAACAATCTCATGCTTTTAGGTGAATTTTTATCGATCTTCATTGACTGTTTTTGCTGTTCGTATTTTAAACAGCAAAGTCAAGGAGTTATATAGGAAGAGGCACCGGAATTAGCTATGACCTCAGGATGAGAATTTTTAGGCGAAAAGCAATTTCACTGAAGAATTATTGTGCCTTTCTGTTTGAGATTCACCTTTACTTCAATGATTTTCATTTTATTGTTTCATGAGACGATTTTTATTTGTATGTCAATATCTTTGAGATAAAATAAATTGTCGTAACGGTCCACTTATTAGTTTATTAATTGGATTAGCCATAGTTGTTTTTAAATATTGTTTTTCAATAGTTCCAAGTTCAACCATTATTCTTATTTCTTGTTACATAAGAATAACCTTGTATCTTATTACATATATGTCTTATTATATGATGTATTCACGTGTTACTTTCAAGGTATTTTACAGCTGTTAGTTCTGGCCTTACACTCTTAATGGGTACTCGTTTTATCCAGTCTGGTAAAATTATGCCTTCTGGAATAATTACAATTTTGAGGTGAGTTTTTTCTTCTTTATTTATCGTATGCTTTCAATTGATGGTACACCTCATTTACTTTCACATCTTGAATTTTATAAAAATTGCTTGTTGTTCCTTTTAAATGATAGGTGAATGCAAAAGTGGCTGTGTTTTAAAGTTTGAATTTCAAAATTTTGAATATAAGGCTCAAAGACGTCTTTATGAAATAAAATAAGAGGTGTAACAATTAGCGATTTTTGTCAACAAGGAAGTTTGTCTATTCCTATTCTGAAAATCATTTCTACTCCTATTGGATAGTCATTCGTAATTTAATCCGTCCAACCTCTACTTCCTCTATAACTAAGAGAAGGGTCAAGTGACTGCTAATCATCGAACATTGATCTTGGCGTTGTTCCTTCAACTTCTGCGCTGCTTCCAATCATAAGGGATAATTTTTTATCGTACATCTATTTTTGCAAAAAAATGACAAATTGGTCAAAAATAATAGACTAGCGCAACAAGCAATTGAGTTTTTTTCTTTTCGTGTAGTTATTAAAAGATTCAGCATCTATAATTGCTTTGAATTGGTCGTTGTGAACTTCCATCACTAGTCATCAAGCTTTTCATCTCTAGACTTTCTCTCATAACGATTGCATTGCATATACGTTAGCAATGTTTTACGATTTCCGGAAGAGAGCAACCTCTATTGAATTGGAGTTTACTGGTAATGTGCATTATCTCCGCTCCTCATCTGATTTTGAACTCAAGTGAAAATCACACGCATTTACTGCATTCTGACGCCATTCGTCAGCCAAAATTAAACTGAATCTTTATTAAATTGAATCAGTTTTAGCTTTGCCATGGTATTCCGTTGCTTGATGCGTTATATCCATCTGAGCAAGTCTGCCGATGATGCATCATTACAAAAGTAACTTGACAAGAAATCTGCAAAACCAAATGGCGCTTCAATAAAGCTTTTGCAAATTCGCTAGTGACTTGTGAACAGTACGCCTTATGCTCTATTGTAAATTTTTTATGAAGCTCTGTATATACCTATATATATATATATTGCAATTTTTATGAAATTCTCTAGGATTTGTTCATATAAAATCTTATGGAAACTTATACAGGTGGATTTAAACTTTCTCGGAAATCCGTCCCATTTTTCATTTAGCGTTGTTTCTCCTTTGCACGGGCATTTTCTAGGTCTTGCGAATCGTAAACCTTCATACATTTTATTTCATTGCAGCAATCTTTCAATTTCTTTATTATTGTCGTACATCTTTCCACGTTGCATTATGTTGTAATGATTTCGACTGTTTTGTAATTTACCTTTTCTGGGATAAATCAGTGAGGTCATTTTGTTGGATTAAATGATTCCACTTCTCGACACTTTTCGAAGTGGAAATGACTGAATATGTAACTTAATGAGTACCACGCAAAAATTTAGTGTATTGATAAATTTTTACATGAAATGACATATACATTTAATAGAATAAACAGATCATCGATAGAATAAATGCATTTAATAGAATAAATCAAATACATTTAATAGAATAAATAGGTTCAGCTTAGCAAAAAATGCTTGCAAATAGACAATTTCGATTGTTTTTGAAAAATGAGCGGCCGAGTAATCAACTCCTCAAAATGGTATTGTAGCATTGAATGTGTTTAGCATTTCTTACTCAGCTGAAAATTTTCGACAAGACTGTTATTTCAGGACAAGTTCCGATTCGAGATACTTCAGAAATATGGATATTAATAGAGGAAATGCCTAAAAACACACCTGCATTATAAAACCAGATCAAGTACTTTATTTTATCTCCATCAAATTCATGAGATTATGTTATATTACAAATCCGAAATAAACAGACCTCTTTACCGGATTTTTACAACGCGGAAGAAGGGAAAACTTTATCATCAGAAATGTTCAGAAGGAGACTTAATCCTTTATATCTCTCTCAAAATTTTTTTTCCTGGGTTTTATTAGTGTAGCTTTAGACTTAAGGTTATTGGAACGAGTGTTTTATCAAGAGCTGTTAAGGACACAGTATCCGGAAACAATATCCTTTTTAAAAAAAATTAACTCAAAAAATGAACTCAACAAAATTCTTTTTAAAAAAAATGAACACAAAAATAAAATTCAAAGTCGTCTCTGTAATTATACATAATTTCTTCTCATTATATTGATAAAGCGAAAAATTCAAACAAAATACGTGCTTTCTGAAATGCTGGAAATTTTCGAACTCTCGGAACTTTACGCAGTTTACTTTTTTTCTTCACTTCTGACGATGAAATTTCCTTAAGTCCCAACGAACTACCAATATTAATATGGCTCAAAATAGTCGAATCATGATCAAAAACCCTGAACTGTCTCAGTAAAGTCCACTGAATTGCCCAAATACTCAACGGTCGCATATAACCAATCGCACGATAAAAACGGTCTTCGTAAATGGCTTCAGGAGTTTGATATTGTAAGCCAAAACGATTGTAACATACATCATAACAACCCCATGCTGTATCAAAACCACGTTGGATATCATCCTGCAAAAAATTTAGAAATTTAAGTATTGTATGGAAAATTTGAAAATCCACACAATGATCAGTGACTCTCTATGTTTTATGCAGATCAACTACCTATAAAAATTTACATCATACAAAATACGAATATTTTCATAAAAAACTTTACATATTCAAAGTGAGAGTACTTTCAAAAAAAATTTCGGAGATTTACCTTTATATATTTCTAACACCAAGCAAAATTAGAAGTTGAATAAAAAAAATCCACATACGGTTACTTAATAAGTAATAAAATGATGCTGCTAATGCATAAGTGACGCCAACCCACACTTCATCTGCTTGTAAATGTCGTCTTTCAATAGTACTGAGGAAGGATTCCTCATTCCATTTACAGCTCCCAATCGTTCACCCGAAAAATTCAAGACATTCAAATTGTAGATTTGATCAAGTGTCGATTTTACGTGTGATAGTGGCAAAAGCTATAATGACAAAATAATATGGGTAAAATTTTTGAAAAGGGAATTTAAAATTGGAAATCAAGTTATAACAAGTCAATAGAACATTAGAGCGAAATCCCCTTTATCTTAACAACATGCATTTTGGAAAAAATCCTTACTCTAAATGAAAAAATACAATTCCAGCTGGTCTGTAACCAGGTGTGATTCATTTATTTATATTTTTACTGCTCTCACATATACCCAAAACCTCGAAAACTATAAATCATCAATCTTTACAACAAAATTAGAACGAAAACAACCCAAGAATATAATAATAACTAAAATTATAATAACTAACTAAAAATTATAGTCTAAGTAGAAAAAAATCCAAACCAACAGAAAAATCAAAAACAAAAAGAATAAAATTATTATTATTATTATCATAAAAATTAAAATTAGACATACTAAAAAATGAGCCAACAAGAAAAAAATTCTCTCAAAAAAACAAGATGCTTGGATATTTTAATTTTTTTATAACTCTAAAGAAAAAAGCAAAAGCAATGACTAATTGACAGAAACTGTTTCTTTTACATCATGCGCAATTTCTGGTGAAATCGACATTAGAAACCAATTGCCACAAAGCTGATCAGCCATAATTGTTTTGGCACTTTCTGAACGTTCATCAAAATTATAATATTTACCATTTCACAGCTTTTCTTCAAATACACCTTGTGCTTTCGATAAAAGTTCTGCATATGGATTTGCGCTTTTGATGTCATCGATTTCACTAGCAAGTCTTGATGCTGCTCGTAATGATGCTAACCACAAACAACCGCAATAAGCATTAGAAAACTGATAAAATGTTTGGATTTTAATTTTGAAGGAAAATTGACCATACACATCTTTTCCGATATTATGCCAGCATCTTTTCCGCTATTTTCATTTAATTTTTTATAAAAGATATTTCAATTTATTACACCTTACACCATCCCTTTTCCAAGCATCGTATGTTTGATCAGCAGTGCCAGAATTTTCGATCATACCATCGTCATCTTGATCCCAACACACTCGAGCTTCAGTTATTAGACGCTTAATAGTAGGCCATACTTTCTGCAAAAACCTGCAATTGACGCATACATTTAAATTTTTGAAATGAAAACTTTAATATCTCAAATGGAAATAATGAATACTATCGCAAAAGAGAACACGAAACAGAAAAACAGTAAACAAGTTTCGAAGTATATACGATACCCTTTGTCTTGATTGAGTATACAGAAATAATCCCGACAACAAGTCAAAATAAATTTCAAATTGAGATCTCTCCATTTGCTCGTATCGTGGGTTACATATGAATTCGTGCACAACCGCGGTTCAACTGCTGTAAAATAGAATATTAATGTAGGTAAAAGCATTTACACAATTACTTTATGAAATTATTCTATAGAAATCCAATACTTTATAAAAGTGCACAAAGGAAAATCTTTACCACCTGAAATTAAAATAAGTTGAGATTGGAATGCAAATTAATGTGAAATTAATTAAATATAAGAAAGAAACAAATAAAAAACAACATACGTAAAAATGATTTACATATTTTCACATGTGGAAAAATCGTTACATTTATTTCTTTTATTTAAACAACTTTACGTGAGCCAGCACATGAAAATAAGCACTATTTTATCAATCTTATCGAAATTATTACTTACCAGGATTTCCTAAATCATGAGGCACACGATGGGGACACTTTACAGAACCTCGAAAGCCATCCATCTGATACTGAGCCACATGTTTATCACAGAGATCCACTTGATCAGCTAGATTAACAAAAAGTTCATGCGGCAAACATATAAAGAGTATATGGAAAAGAGTTGGCTAAAGAATAATTGTGAAGTTAATTTGAAGTCAAAATATTGCATTCTCTAATTCAAATTCTGATAAAAAATAAAGTGACTGTTGTCTAAGATATATTTTAAAGTGAGATCTTTGTTTGTTATGATTCAAAAATAAGGCATTTAGTATTTATGTTTTACTCCTATCAGTCATAGATACCGATTTCGGTTTACTAGTTTCAGAACTAATTTTTATAAGTGGCAAGAATTACGTCGCCTTACTACTGACAGTTCCGAATAATATGAAACCAGGCAAAAATTTTACTAAAAAGAAACTAATTAGCATAAACATGGAAGGATAGTCATATTTGCAATTTCACTTCACACAAGCTTACTTATTTCGGCTTGCAGCACGTGTTATAAATTTGGCCATAATTGTGCTAAGGCGAAAGATGCATAAAAATGAACGTCATATGTATTTAACATACGATATTCCCAAGCTGGAACCCAAGGATGGTCGATTAAAGGGTACCCGTATTTCTTCTGGAACTTTATCACCACGTGCAAACCAACCGTACTTGTGACTGAACTCACTAATTCCCACATCCCACACTTCACCTGCACTGGTCATGCTTCGTAACACTTCTTGAACCGCCCCATCATCATGTAATCCCCATTTTATATAGTGATCTGAAAGTGCAAACCGATACAAAAATCGACTATTTTCAAGAAAACTATGACTTAATTAAAATATCTGGAACATCGTTATTTCATCAGTAGATAGAACCGGTTCATCAACTATTGAATGCCAACGCGAAAACCTTCAGAAAAAATACTAAGTCCCATACCGTTTAAGCGTTGGAACCCGTCCCGCATAACTATCTTACAAATGTCTTCCATTTTTTTTTTTTGAGAAATTTGCAAACATAGCACTTATGAATAAAAATCAAAAGCCAAAAACCATTTCATCTGATAGATTCAACTGCCCATGCATTCGTGAAATTATATATAGATTCATGTATGTCATATAGCAAACACTTACATAAGTATAAATGTAAATTTTCATCGACTCCTCAGTCTTTTTATCACAATGTCAATGTCATTATAAAAACATATGTATATCATCCCAAAAAAACTTGACCAAATAAAAAAAATGAAATGAAAAATGCTAGAACACGAGGCAAGAAACGATGATGTTAAAAATATAAACAGGTTATTAGGAACACACCAAGTCTCAAAATAGTAACCTAATATCTCATTCATATGGAAGCAGAATTTTTCAATCAATTTTTAAAATTTTAAATCAAACCTTATCACGACAACACTCTGATCACCGGGGAACAAAATACGATATGAAGTAAAATATATATAGTCATGGAATTATACACATCTAAATGATGCAAAACAGGTGAATTTAACTTGGAATTTTTACAAATTCTTGTTTATTTTCTAAATTCTATTTTTTACACTTAATCGAAAATTTCTTTTAAAAGATTTTACCCGGCTACTCTATGCAGAATGTACCAGATCAAAACAGCCAAAAAAGGTGCATAATGAGCAGTACCTAAATGACACTGCTAAAACTAAAAATGCCTAACAGTTTACCGGTATATGAAACAGCATGAAGCAAGACTTCGCTGTTCACAGATGACGAAATGAATGAGAAAATTTAAAAGCTCCATGCATATCTTAATCTCTCAGTATCACAGATGTACAAAATCGCCAATTAAATTCAGGCTTCAAGATTTCTTTTTTTCACACTAAATAACTATTATTTGGCTTGTAGTATTTCTAGTTGAAGTAGACCAAAGTTTAGAATTTAAAAAATTTTTTGAAATTTTACAATTGGAAATCTATAACCAACAAAAGAAACCGTAATTTACATCAAAAACAATACAACGGGCAATAAGAACTTCGAATGTTTCGGAATTATCCTAATTTAAAAGACATTAAAATAAGCTTCAAAATAAATGGTAAAAATCGCTATTACAAGCTCAATAATCTGCAAACTGATACACCCGGAAATAAAAATTCAGAGAAGAAATGAATAAATCAGACAGTGAAATCAACAATAGTAACAAATAAAAAACCTAAACGTATCACAAACGCCGAAGCCATTTGAGAGCTGTCCTCTAAACTATGGACAGTTGCTGCACCCAGATGAAAGATTAGCCTGAAATTTTATCCAACACAAGTTTGTAGTAATTAGAAGCGTTAAGATTTATATTTTAAGTAACAAGAAAGCTCTTATTCCTTCTTAAATAACTGAAGAATAAAGATATGAGTGTAAATCCTTTTGGACGAAATACGCAGATTAAGTTTTACATTTCAGGAATGCTATCTGTCACTTCGACTTATTTGCCAACTAATGAAGAGCACAATAAATAAATGTATCTGAGAACTAAAAAAGTTTATTTTTCATATCGTTCGATCATAAACCAATATATTATCATTCTAAGTACCTTAAAGAACCGAAGAATAAAGAAAAAAGAATCAAGATAGAACAAGCAGCTATATTATTAACTGATTTCAGTGTCTGAGATAAATAAGGACAAATTAATTAAAAATAAAGATTCGGAAATTTTGGAATGACATTTTTTAACATATATTATCATGCCTGCTTAGAAAGCGAATTACTGACAATACTCGCAAATATAAAATCATGTAATCCTATAATTCTTTCCATTTCTTTCTATAAGATATTTTATTTCCGAATATAATCTTTTCCTATGGAGCTCGCATGAAATTCGTTCTGATCAGCCAGAAAAACTGAAATTAAATACTTCCATACATAACTAAAAAGATAATATACAAATTTCAAATGCCTAGATCTTTTAATACATTAGTAACAGTATTTGAGGAAGCGTTTTTAATTTTACTGGTGCCATCCACCTGCTCGAACTATAGTCATTATTGAAATTGAAATTTGTAAGAACTAACAATATGTCTAAATAAAGATTTGAAAGTAAAATAATGCCATTAAACATAATGGATAATAACAGAATAATTTTCATAATACCTAAATAGCATATCAGCTTAATCCTTCAATTTTTGGCACCAGACATTCTATTAACTGTTGTCGCCCATCAATATTATAAAACGCTTTGATTCTCATTTTCAGCTGAAAAAAGGACGAAAATATGATACTGAAAAAGGGTGTTTGTGATGCCAAAAAAAACACCAAAAAGATTTTATGATTCGGAAAAAATAAATCATACTGAATTATTGTAAACTGATTTTAATCAAGTGATCCTCAGTAGTGAAAGTATTTACCGGATGGGTGAATGATATCCTTCTAATGTTTATCATCTGTATGATCGTACCCTGTCGATTGGGTGGTAAGTTTGAACTAGATGGAGGCAACAACTCTATTTGAAACGCCTGAAAATCACGGTACTACAATATTACATGAAGTAAAGAAAAATAAAGCAAGAGCAAAGCGGACTTGAGTTTATATGTTCCCTTCGTCAGTTTCATTAATAAACTCTTGAAAACTCACGATAATAGTGTGAACACATTCTCTCATTTCCGAATATGAGAATAAAATAAAAACAGATGAAGAGTTTGATAAAATCTAACAATAAAGTAAAAAATTCTGGAAAAGAAAAAACTTAAAGACTGCTGAAAGTGTAGATGCATTACAATCAATATCTATATATAATCTTTCATACATAAAAATGTTAACATAGAAAAAACCTTAGTAACAGCTGCTTGAAAGTTGAAAGCTTCAACAGGTAAAGGATTATTATTAGTTACGAGAAGCCTCAATGCCGCCACACTATTCTCATTGAAAGTACTATCGACATAAAGAACGCCTTCGATGCCATTCGTATTAATTGCCATTGTTGAAGGCTGTGAAACTTTTTTGGATGCATCCCTGTATCATGAATTTAGAAAGTCTTGAAAAAAAGCATAGATATAGCGATCAGCAAAAACCGAAATTAATTAAATTATAAAGATATAATGCAATGAATTATTTCAAAACATTACAGAAAAGGAAACATACATCGAAAATAAGTCGAAAGGATCCAAATCGCTCAATGTTGATGCTGCTGATTTTAAAGGCATTTTATTTGTCGAAGTATTGTTAATCAAACCTATAAACAAAAAAATATAAGAAAATATAATTATATTAAAGAAATTTGTACCGTTCATAGATAGAAGTCGATGGGTTCTCAAGCAGGACTGAAAAACACGTGAAAGAGGAAAAGAAAAGTTGAAATTGTGAACAATAGTAACTGTAGTCATATTTTTTTATTAGAATTACTTAAGTTTATTTTTGAAGTACTTCAATATAATTCAGTCCACTTAGCTAGACTTTGAAAATATGTTTTAATTATAAAAATATACCGTCCATTAAATCGATCGTTTTCGTGCCGTTCATAATTTCTGCAGGTGTTAGACCATTGATGTTTGCTTCGAAGTTCATTAAATCAAACAAATCCGATGGTTGGGATATTTTCTAAAATATCTAATAAAAATCTAAAATAAAAATACTATCTACCAAACAGATCGTTTTCGCATCGTCATAAACTCTGCAAAACTAACAAAATAATAAAAACACAATACCATTTGTTCTGAAGATCCCAGTAATGGAGGCGCTTCAAGATCTCCCAGCAAATTGGTGCTTTCTGATTTGTTCTCAATTGTAAAGCCTTCATTTATTGAGGTATCCCTTTCAATTGGTTGCGCAGCTGCGTTTAATATGTTGTGTGTAATAACAGGCATCCTTTCCAAAAGGCCAAATCTGCATAAGGAATTGAGTCGAAGATTTTAATTATTTAAAAAAAAGAGTTAATTCATATTTTAATATTCTCAGCTTTGCTGCATTTCGCAATTCAGCAAAATTAGCAAATCCAATGTTCGGACATTATTTGAAATACTTTTACACGCAAATACCAGGTTGCTGTGAAATGCTTAATAATATATATTAGGTCAAGCCACATAGCATATAAAAGAAAAAATTATGGAAAAATTTACTTCAATTCCCCATAGTTCAACAAACGAGAAAATTCAACTGATCGTTGTTGCAGTTCGAGGTGAAGATGTTCCTTATTCGACTCAATCAATTGACGAATGCGACTGCAACAAAAAGTTTACCTGTTACTTTGAAAATGCTTATAAACCGAGTATGAATTAAACTCAACGAGATGCTTATAAATCTAAAAATTATAAATATATTATTCTCTTAACAAAGCACAAGCAAAGATAAGTGAATTTTTTCCTCTCGAACAACATACTTATTTGTCTCATTAAATCTTGTATCCAGTTTTGCTAAAGCCGTCAACGCATATGATTTGGTTATAGTATTCGTCAAATTACTTGGCAGTACACGTTCAAAGACATCGATAATACTCGATTCTTCCACCTTTGAACAAAAATTAGTTAAAAAATAACCTTGCACAAAGTTAGTAAAGAGTACCCAGAAATGTTATGAAACCAGAAATGTTACGAAATGTTACGAAAAAAGGTCTAGCAATATTTAAATTCAATAGCTATATCTTTATATAAAGAAAATCCAAAGCAGACCTTGACTACTTCATCATCATTCAATTGAAGTATGATATCACCAAATTCTCCAATCGTCCAAAATGCTACCTTAGACCAAAAAAAAATTAGAACTTACATAAAACTTCCTTTCAAATATTTGTATAATCATCTGATTCAACTGAAACTGAATCCATGCTTCTGTTATAAGCACTGTTCAATAAAACTCTTCATTATTAAAAATTAAAAGAATCAGAATTATATCAACTCATTTCTGTACATTCCGGGCAATAATTTAATATTAATAACTCAATATCAACATTTCCATTTAAACTTTCACAGAGCTGTATGTATTACTTGTAATAGTGGTTGGGCATTAACAACATCAGCCTGTGCAGCTCGATAAAGTTGTACAGCTGCATAATGCTGCAGTTCCGTATGTGATGAAATAAGCTGAATCATGCACGAAACCACTTCGTCAGGTACATAATTACCTGCCTGCAAAAAAAAATCTAAACTTCGGAACTCCTCAATAATCTTAAATTCGACCAATGCAAAATTCCTTAAATCAGAAAGGATGAGTTGCAAAACCTAAGTTGAGCGCACAACTTGGATTTTGAAATTGACCCTTTCTACTAGCATGAAAACACGTTTCACTGTTAAAATATATTATAAAATTTGTTTACCAATTTCAACACTTTGATCATCGTGTCAAGATGCCAACCATAATTGGGTGAATATTTTTCAGTGGCAATGTACATTTTTGAGGCACATTCTGCTTTAAATTCCGGATCGGCAGTTTCCAAAAATATCAATATTTCTTTCGTCATGTTTGTTATATTTGTATGGTTAATCAGTGCAAAACAGAGTTCCATCGCACGTCTGAAAAAAATTTATGAAATGATTGCAATAACTGTAAAAGTACATATAAATTCAAATCCAGACATCACAGACCTTCTAATTGATACATCTGGATCTTTCAGACAATCAACAACAGTTGTACGATGCCTCTGAACTGCATTATAATCCACGAACACTGTTTTTAATAAGGTGTTTAGTGCAACATATCGAATATTCTGAAAAAAATTTGTAAAGCATCTTTAGACCTCACAAATTCTAAATTCATAACTTTTTAATCTTATCCTTAAATTTACAGTTAGTTAGTAATAAAACAGTAAAAAACTACCTTATCTGGATTTAATAAAAATCTTCCAAGAATATTTACTGCTAGAACACGAAGGCCACTTTCACTCCGTATTTCCATGATTGTCAACACCGTTTCATATAAAATAGCATTACCAACGTTTTTTGACGTTTCTGTATTTGTAGCTACCTTAACTTTTACAGTTAATTTGAAATATTTGGAAAGTGAATATAAGATTAAAATTATTATCACTGCGACGGATTTTCAAAGCTGTTCTTAGCTCATTAAGTTCCACACAAACCTGTGCCAATATATCATTCATTTCCTCGCTTGCTTTCGCGTCATAACGTCCCAAAATACGCAGTAATTTCAAGATTTTAATCTGAATTTAAGAAAACATTATTAATGAATATAAATACCGGTCCTAAAAAAATATACTTGCGAAAAAAATAAAATAATACATGAGATTGCGAAAATTAAAAGAAGTAAAGAAGAATTACTAATTAAGCTGAACAAAATGACCTGTAAGAAAGGATCACTGATACCCGTCACATCGTGTTCCGGTGAATAACCACTCATTAAAAGGTTTTTCAATATACGAACTAAATTCGGCACCATCTAAAACAAAACATGAAATCCCAGACTAAGTATCCAAGCTCACAATACAATGTCACATAAGTAAGCACCATGAAAGAAAGCTTTTAAATACAAAATCACTATAATAACTAACTTTCTTAAAATGATTTAATACGTCAGGGCTTTTCTCACACATTTCGGTAACCAAGGTTATTCCACCAATTAACACTCCTAAAACTTTATGAAGATAAAACATCAGTCACGGCGTTTACTAAATAAAAATCTCTTTTTTCTGCACGAAATGAACATCTCTTTTCTTTAAGCGCTATAAACGCAAGGAAGTCATTAATCATAAAACAGCTGAAAAAAATTATGGCTATATAATTTAGAAAATTATCCTAAATTCTGCAAGAAGATGTTTGTGAAACTGGATTGCAAATATCTCACCATGATTCTTTTCGCTGATTAATGATTTTGTGCATGAGATGAACATTTCCATGAGTTCAGGCACTTTTTTCACGATTCGAAAGGCACATAAAGCTGCCTAAATGAAATTATTTTTTCAAGATATTTCAATTCACAATGACATATAACGTGGGGATATATTCTGGAGTCGATAATTGAAGTATGATTTTATGTTCGATGTTAAGTTTATATCGAATATACGATTATGTTCCAATTTATGTTAAATTAAGATATTTCTCACCAAATATGTCATTGCAGAATTCCTAAACGCAGTCAATTAAATTTCCAATTTAAAGCATCTTACAAAGATTACGAAAAATAGATAAAAGCAAAAATTATTTAGAATGACCATGCATAACACCAAATTACCTTTTTTTTTATGTAGGTATTGCTGGATTTAATTAGCCTTTCAACTTCACCAGCCAAATCACGACACATCTCTGACGAACAAATTGAGCCTAATGTGCAAAGTGCAAGGCCCGTTACGAATTGTGTTGAAGCATTCAAATCACTGAAACATCGCTGTAAAGTGCAAACCAAAAAATTTCCATTATGATCAGTTAGGCATAAGAAACAAAATGCATAACAAAATTACTTTTTCAGAGAATTAGTAACAAGAAGATGAACTTCTGAACGTTCGTCTAACAGCAACATTGCACCCAGATAGCCAATACGCTTATCGGTGTATCTTGGTTGCGCAACTAATTTCATACATTCCATCTGTAAAATAGCTTCGAAGTCATAGAATTTAGCGAGATAGGGATGATGAATTTTGAGATGCTCAGTGCTATTTTAGTTATACATTTTAGTTATATTAGTTATACGTAGATATCTTATAAATATAATATCAACTGTAACTGCTAGAACACAAAATTAAACACTCATGAAGTGAGATAAAATTGAATAAAAGAACCAATATAATCCAATTCTAAGTATCAGAAAACTATCGTCACATTTTAAATACTTTGCTCAAAACATAATAATCACTTTTTTGTTACCACAGTGAATAAATGATAGGTAAAATAAGGATAACATCCCTACATAACGCGGGAAATAGAGAAATCTGTATCGTAGTCGAGATGAGAATAAGCTATATATCTACCTGTCCAAAATGAGCCGGATAGCCCAGCATGTGTATGTACAATAGCTTCGCAATATTTCTGCATTTCCATGGACTGTCATCGTCTCGAAATGTCTCTCTAATGTTTGCACTTTCTCGATCAACTACAGCCCGCTCCTCAGCCATCGTACGAGCTGCTCGTACTTGACGTATTAAATCTCGCAACCGCATTGGCGTTCCCAGTGATCTTTAATAACGATTGAAGCGATGAATAAGATGAATATATTTTCCTAATGACACTTATTGTCGTGAATTTCATTCAGAATTAATCTTTGAATAACATACTTCCATTTCTCTACTTGAGTAAAAGATAATTAGATTTCATAAACTGAACATTTCAATAATCTTTCTGAGGTTCGCATAGATATATCTAAAATATACGCAAAACTAATAATAGTTGAAAGAAAAATTGACACGTGGTTTCTTAATTACACATGCATTTTATTATATAATTTGAATAAGTCACTGAAATTCATAATTATCAATGTTTTCAAAAACACTTGTTTTTCAGCAAAAATTATTAATAACTTTGTGTTTTATCTTATTACTATAAGATGTAACATCAATGTTTTTTAATATTCACACCTTTCACAATTGCTTTGCTCATTAACCATAAGAAGATGATATTCATATTCCCTAGCAACGACTTCAAACCAATCTTTAATGTGAGATAGCGATATATACATATGCATAATAAAAGTGATGAGAACCGAAAAGCTTACGCAAATTAAAATATCCCAAATGAAGTAAATTTATAAAAAAACATGAAAGCATGGACGAATTCAATACTTGAGTGAAATGATAAGGTAAGCCAAAAATGCGAAGATATGAAATAATAATATACTTAAAGGATTTATTCATATGATACAGGAAGGAAAAATGAGATGCTAAAAAATTCAAAAATTGAGGAAAAAGTTAAAAATCAGTTAAAATCTATAAATTCGAAGCATATCTATGCATCTTAGTTACTTCGAATTTATATTGAAGTCATCCTGCTCCACACTAAAATCATATATCATCTTGTATGCATTTATCTCATACCTTATCCTTTGCAAATTCCATCACCTCTACTTCATTTTAAGCTCATCTCCTGTATTTTTGAAAAAGTTATACTTGCAACACAAGTGATATCAATCTGATTGTTGAGATCCATCAAAAAGTGGAAGCTAGCAATTCATTTATTAATAACACAACAAATTTTGTGAAAAATAATATATACCTTCCAAGCCGAGATTTCACCTCATCAATTTTCTCAATAGTCATTTCTACCACTGTTGCCATGCTGACTCTACTACGATACTTTTTTATAGTAACCAAAATAACCTGCAAATATTATCGGAAATTGACATAAAATTAATAAATTTAGAGTCGAAATTTAATTCGAAATCAATTAAAAATCAAATATTTGGATTTAATTCAAGGAATGACAAGACGCTGAAATGGATAAGCGATAAAGAAAGGAACGATTAATTAAAATTGGTTGACATAGCAATCTGGCAGGTGTCCAAAATCTCCCGTGAAAGTGTTCGGCGCATAATCAAAATCTTCCGTAACCACTCCATTTTTCCTATGAGTCATCAATGAACTCGTCATCAAATGCCGATGAATCATCACCACATCATATCATCTATCCATCCAGCCATTCATCTCACAAACAGTTATAATGCCCGGCAATGAGCATTCACAACCTTCGTGATTTATCGAATTTCAACTGCCACCAACAACCAAAGTGCAGCGGAGCCTCTCACGGCGAACCTCGAAAAATTCCATCTTGCACCTCCTAATGTCTATTTATCAGCCACGCTATCTCTTTCTCTTTCACTGTTTACCTTTCTTTTCACTCAACCCACTCGCCATTGGCAACTATCCGACATAAACCACTTGTACGAGCTGACGAACCCAGCTTTGCGCAGTGGCGATAACGTGACCAATGAGGCTTAGCCGAGGTGCGTTTATTGCTGGTTGAAAACTTTCACCCAATTGCCCGCCGCAACTCCTGAAAAATGGATGTTGTAGGCAATTTTTGAACGCCCCGTACGGGGCAGAGTACTGAGTTATAATGGCTGCAAAAGTGGTGACGCGTGGGCCCGTGGTGTTGGATTCGGTTGATGCAATCACCACACTCTTCTTGGAGGCTATGATGCATAGCACGACAAGCTTTTTTGAAACTAACTTACAACAAGTAATATAAAAGCCGATAAAGATGCAGGAAAGGAGGGTATGCCGTTTATGTTACCGATCAGAAAAGGCGAAATTCTACTGCTAATAGATGCTTTCAAGCTTACAGGGGTTGTCATGTGTAACTAGGCAATTATGAAACTTTTAATGGGTCAGAACAAGATGAAATATCACATGAACTTGCATTTTTAAAAACTTTACAAATCAATTACATTGAGTAACATAAGAGACAGAAATTCATGCCCTGGAAGAAAAAAAAATTTACGACGAAAATAATTTCTAACTAGCATTGGATAAAGAAAATAAATCTCACAGAATCACACTCAGTTATTGCTACTAATCAACAGATGCGTTCCTTCAAGGAGCTATTGGAAACGAATTTCTGTCCAAATTTAGAAAATCTAGTCTGGAATCAGAAAGAACATAAAATATGTCTCACTTGATAGTATTTAAAAATCATATTACAAGAAACGGAATAGCTCTACTCCAAGAAAGAAGCATAAGATTTAAAAGCGATAATCCAAAATGTTCAAAATTCAGATGAAAAAGGAAAATAAAAAAGGAACATATTTGTAAATATCAGAAGTTGACAGCATTTCAAATTTCTATTTGCAGGTCCAATTTCATGCCAGAAAAATAATAAGGGGCTCAAACACTAAGTGCAGCAATGATTATACTTGCGTAATATCATTATACATGATATCATTTATACTTGCGTAAAATGATATCAACTTGCGGAGCAACAAATCGCTTATAATTCATTATAACAAACGCTTTAAAGCTCAAGTATTAAAAATACTAAAACGATTTACTTGCGGACATTATAAGAAATTAAATAATATACATATATAAGAAAAGTATAGCACATGCGTCTTTCATTCTCAAAAGATCCAAAATTGTAACATTTGTATCATACGTAGCCAAAATACTTTACTTTAGAATATTATCGAAGCAAGCACTATGTTAAAAAAAAAACATAGCAACTAGAAAATCTACTCCATATGCGGACATTTTTAATGAAATTTATGAACAAAATAATAAACTTAAAAAAGTGTACTTTTAATTTTATTGTGGAACTACAAATCACTAAAATACCAAATGAAAAGATCTTTACAAATTTGACGGAAAAAGGATTAAACAAAATCTTTGGTGCTAAACCGCACTTCGAAATAGATGAAGATAACCAGTAGTCGGTTCTCCAGGACCCATTTGATGCTGTATAACATAGTATCGCGATGCAAGGTCTTGTTTAGCAGAGCAATCAAAAAACACTCGTTGCGGATGCTTCTCATCAACTGGTAACACTTTAGGAACAGTTCCCAGTGGTATCCTTACAATTGGTAGACCTTCCGAGCTCGCTTTTGTTTCTACCGTTACACCGTCAGCATTTTCGTCAATCAAAATTTCAAATTTCGGGAAATCCTCGCCAAGTTTACCTGAAAAATTTTCTCAAACCTTTTACATAAAAAAAAACGAATTTTTTTAACGATTATTTTACGACAAGAAAATTTTCAAACATATTCGATATAATTCGGAACTGAAAACCTACTTAATGCTGTTTCACATATTTTCTTCCATTCATTTTTTCTCCTTTCACATTTCTTTCCCTTCAACACCAGGACAGCCTCTTCCGCAACTTCATTTAACAAAGCATCTTTCATTTTTTTTTGAGCAACTATCTTCTGTTTGCGTGCTTTTTTCTCAGAGGACCCACCAAATTGCTCTCTGCAAAAGTTTCGTTAATAACAGCCACTCTACTCATCAAAATTTCAAATAACCTTAAATAACTCACTCATCTTCTAACAGCCTCAAAATAGCCTCCTCAGCTTCTGCTTCCAAATTAGCTTCTTCTTCATTCCAGTCAACCTTGAAAAAATTTTCAAAATTTGCACAAAAAAGAATGTCTATGCAAAATATAATCGACTTCATAGGTTGAAGAATTAATTATGTTTAGCTATCTCTAAATTCAAAGAAATTTGAAATTCTCGAAATGTACACGGATTAAAAGATTTACTGCGACTACTTCGCTCATCGTATCGCTCATTGCGCTGTTCCTTTTTGATGTCTTTTTTTTAATTTCTTTTTCCTTAATTCTATCAATGATTTCATTTGCGTGCGAATATAAGGCATCAGATAACAATGTTGGCACAGCCATAGCCTAAAACTCTCTTTGAAAAATTAGACCATTTTTCATTGGAAATATAAAATTGAAATTAGGATAAATTCGAGCAAGTAAATACCTGATTTAACCGAGTCCAGTTGAACCTTTCTTCTCGATTATACTTGGCTTTTAATTCCAATCGTGTTCGGGACGGGAAGAACTCATGCATTAGCCCAAAATCTGGGCCTGTGGCTCTAAAATACATGCAGTAAAAATAAAGCAATATGAAAACACGCTTTACTGTAAATGAAAAACTAATATAATTAGTAATATAAATAATATAAGTAATAATATAATTACTGCCCAGATACAAATTATGACATTACTTTAGAAATAAAAAAACTGACCTTAAAATATCATAAAAAAGATCAGTTTCTAATTCACTCCACGGATTGCCTCTGCAGAATGGTCTCTTTCGAAAACTCATTGAATTCAGCTTCCTATTTGATCGATCCTGGAAAAAATAACAATAATGAAAATTCTTTTTCTTCCAAGATGAGATACGCATCCAGATTTATTTAATGCCATAAACATGAAGACTAATAATATACCACTCAATCATATGCTAATGAACAAATTGCTTTCTTTCTAGTTCAAAAACTATGGCTTATAGCTGTGAAATATGTAATATACTTCTTCTACAGTCTCCCAAACATTCGAATCACTTTCGTTCGTAATCGTCAAACTCGATTCATCAATAACCAAAGAACCATCGGCTGCTATTTTGACCTGAAAATGTTATTCAAATACAAATGTAGATAGAAGACGCTTCTAAGAGGGAGAATAACCTAATTGCAACTTAAAATAGAAATGTAGAAAACAAATGTATCCATTACCTGCGGAGCAGCAAAAGCAGGTTTTTGGATTCTTTTCTGCTTGCTCTCGACGTCAGTTTTTCCTATAATTTCCAGATCTGTTACACTATCTTTCTTCTTTTTTCGAGAATCATCATGCAGTCTCTATAACGAGAAGTTTCAATTAAGGAGGAGCTAAGCAGTTACCATTCTTAAATGTAAAAGTTAGAAAAAAGTACAAACATGATATGTAATGAAAAGACATCAACAAATGTATGAAAATGGAAAAGGAACATTAAAATTACTTTTTCATTCTTCGGATTCCAGAAAATTAAATCTTGCATAGTCATTGTTTTTGGGTCTAAGGGCTCACTGCCAGTAAATTTTTTCCTGGAACAATAGTTATTCTTTGTATATTTTTTGTAGATATTTGCACATAAGAAATCAATGAGCCAAAGCAGTGAAAATCCGTGATGTAGATGGTGATTCGTGAAAATAATATTCTATTCGTATACCTCACTTTCGGTGAACAATCATTTGTGGTAGGAGAAACGGAAGATACAGCTCTTGCACACTGTGGAAACGGTTGTTCAATACCAGATGAAGCGCTGGAAACTTCTCAATCAAAAAATAAAATATGGATTAAACTTCGAATTTGCTTGTACCCAAATCAAAATGAACTTTATCAGAAAAACTAGATGCGATTTTAATCATCGATCCAAACAGTAAGTTTAATAATGTCAATTAATATTCCACAGATCTCTAAAAGACATCCAGTGAAGAGTGAATTCAAAAAACTTACATAGAGCTTGCAACACTGACCGGTGATTTTAATGGCGAATGTGATCTAGGTGATTTAGACGGAGAATTGCCATGAGGTTTATGAATTAGTTGAGGTGTTTTTAAAAGTGTCGGTGATTCGAATGTGTAGTCACTGACCGATGAGGGCTTACCTAAAATATTAAAATTACTGAAAAGAATTAACCAAGAGAAAGGAAATAGAAAGGAATTATCCTTCTACATTCTAAGAGATTTTCTATATAAATTGGACAATCATCTAATTTACGTAATGAATATAGAGAATCTATTGTGAAAACTAAATTTAATTTCTTATTACCTGTTTGTGTGTTTGCTCCATCTTTATCTAAATCGTTTGAAATCGATTCAGAGTTAACAGGCATGGATTGCAGTTCTTGGACCTCAACAGCAACTTTCCTTAAGGTCTCTGTTTCTGGTATATTTTTCTCCTGTATCATTACTATGGTGGATAGGGCTGATATACTATCTGACTGCGGTTTAATTGGTGAAGCAGATCTCGGTTTTGATGGCATACTCTTCTTCGTTCCACTGGCAACATTTGGACGTGCCTTCAAGGAAAAAGCCAAACTATTCAAATGAATGAACAAGCAAATCCTCCTCACAATCTCATAAGGAAAAAATTATCACAAAATCAAACAAGCTAACGCTGTAAATACAATATTATTATATTTTCAAAAATCTTGACGTATATCTACGACAAAAATTATGAAAACGATAAGCATATTGTAAATTCACAAATGGATCTTACCTGTATGCGACAGCGTCGCGACATTATTAAACCAATACTGCCACGGGTTGATACTCTTAAAAAATGACGATGAAAATAATAAACGAAGAGAACAATGCTCATTTTAAGCGTCTTACACAGTGCAGTCTACCCACTCCCGAAATCCACGCACCACAAACCTCGCCCTCCCTCTCTCCCTATTACTTTGTTTGTTCCTCTTATGATTTCTAATTCTGTCTAACGAAAACAGTCAATCCAATCGAGATTTCTCCAAACTATTGCAACGTAACATTATTTCCTGGAGATACTGAAAGGTCACGTCATTATTGCCCGTTACCTCTCTCCTTATGGTGTGGTCAGAAATTCAGCATTGTAATTGCATTCTATCGCTGTTCGGAAATATCTTTCACTGATAAGAATGTAGACATTAATAACGATAATGGTAATGGTAATGTCTATTATTTGTTATCCATCACCTAATCGAGATTTTTGGAAGCATATTTTCATACTCATTCAATAGGATAGAAAAGAACGATAGGATAGAAAAGAATACGATAAAAAGAAAAAGAATATGTGAAATGTGCAGGTGATTGATTCTATGATAATTCAAAAAAATTTCAGGAAAATGAAGCAAATCAAATCAAATATAAAAACATCAGAATCGGTCCAATGGGCAGGGATGAATACAGTGAAATTTTATGAAAAGCTATGTCAAAGCAAGCTCCAAAGAAAACAATTTATACCGTGGAATAAAACTCGCTGCAGGTCGTTTTGGTCTTTCTTCAGGGTGTACAAAGAAAAGCATATGAGGAAATCCTGTACCAAAATAAAAATCATCAGTATTCTGATGCTTTGAGATCAAAATAATTCCATAGCATTTTGATGAAGTTTTATAAACAAATTTTTTCGTCTTTCGCCTTTTATCATAATTTTTTTTGGAAATGTTGAAAATTGCATTTATCCTCTGATCTTCTGATTTACCTAATTCTCCACTCAGATTAAACCATTTTCATAATTAACTTCTTATATTTTCTAGACTTTATGTATAGCCTGCACAGTTACTATGACTAATTAATTCATTCTTTAGAACCTTTTCTTTAAAACATTCGCAACCTATGGCATTTGAGAAAATCAATAAATTTTCGATGATTATAACATTAATTGTTAATTTTTGAATCTAAACTTTTAAAACATTATTTTGAAACAAACCTTTAATTTTACTTTTCACGATTGGTATAATCGAAATAAAAAATTTTTTCAACCTAGCGTTATCTTAACCATAACTATCAACTATTGCAATGATGAAATGAAACAAAGCGATAGGTTTATTACGAATTTCAATTAAAGTTTTTAGGTCTATATCGAGAGCAGTAGACAGATGTAAAGTAATAAGATGAGATTATCTACTAAAATATAATCGAGGGTTCTTATCCCATGTGATGCTACGATAATAAGATGAGAATGTTTGTTTTGTTGAAGTTAATCATTTGGACATATTCTGAAATAAATACGACTGTATTACATGTCATATAAGCGCTTATTTCATACTGTGCGAGTCATTCCGATTTACTAATTCATTGCTTTTTATTCGATATTTATTTTTGATAAAGGAAATAAAATTAAACATAACATGAATTGGATAATTCTTTTTAATTCAAATAAACTGTAAAATAGCACATAGAAGTAATGAGCGATATCAGAAGAAATATATTTGATTCAAAGATTGTGAACGTACATACCATAAAATATTTTGAAAAAAAAATGCATATTTAAAAAGAAAGAAATATCGGATTTGGTAAAAAATTAGCTATGAAGAATTCAAAGAACTTTTTCGAATTCTTGACTGATGGATTTCACTTATCCAGAAGTATCGCTGAGATATGTAGTTTCTAATATAGATCTTTAAAATAGATGGATGATTTAACTGCTTCAATCACCTTTTTTATGTCTTCATAAAGCGATAAAAATGAAAACGCCAGTTATTTCTGGCGAAAGTTAAGTTATTACGGATTGTCATCCAACAGAAAAATGTGAACAGAGAGTGTTTTAGGCGTAAAAATAAGCAGGCTTGAAAAAGATTATATCGGTTGACTTTTAAATTCAATAAACGTTAATCTCTCCTAAATTTTAATTGGAAAATCGGAGAGCATTCCACAAACTAGTTGATGTTTAATTTTCTTTTCGCTTCTACTCTTAATCGTCTTGTTGAAACTAAAATTGTAGGAAATTTTTGTAAATAATGACATTTAAATTTGTTTAATACAAATTTTATGATTGAAATGAAAAAGATAATGCCACTGATTTTTGTCTTATTTTTCTTATAAAAAAGAAGTTCCATGAAATGATTGTAGATTAGAATAAGCAAACTTAACACTTTATCACTCCTTTTTTTTCACTAAAACGAAATGTGAGAGTTATTGGTTAGACATTTATTGGAAAGGTTGTGGAAAATTATTTCGTACAACCCCGACAGTTTTTGTTTGACAAAACTTTTACAATGATCTGATCTATTCATTACTTGGTTATTTGAAAAATTCTATTTATTGCATTTTCTTCTGTCTCATTGCAAAATGTCACGATCCCTCATTTTTGCTTCATATATTTTAATAATTTAAAAATTAAAAAGCACACATGTATGAGTGTACAATGGGCTGGAATTGCATAATGAAATTTACGAAATAACTCTTTGCAGCGGGAAAAAGTTTTATTTGCTTTGTTATTTTAAATCGAAATAAAGCTGCTTGATTTATTATTTTGTCCTGGAATTTCCTAAAAATCAATAAGTAGCTAAAAACTGTAAATAAATTAATAAGTCACATTTGCATTGAGACAAATATCATTTATTGTTCTGACAAAATATTCAAATATTCTGATTGTTATAAACTGGAAATGACGACACACCGATGATTAATATTAGATTAGATATTTCTGACTGAAAGAACAACGTCTATTAAACTTTTAGGCCTCAGTCTCTTGAGTGTTGGAAAAAAAGCAAGAGAGTTTTTAAGACTTGGAATAGCATTTAATCGAGCAAGAATTCGCTAAACAGATTGTTTATTTACTTACTTCTTTACTCTAACAAACTTAAATTTGCGAGTTCCAAATAAGCTATGTTAGAAGTTACAGTGAAATATGTCTTCAGAAAGTTATAAGTGAATAAAAAAACATTACAGAGTGAAATGAACATAAAAAAATTTAATCAAAAATTGGCTTTGGTGGTGCAACCGGCGGTTTTTTAGAGAGATTTTGTGGTGTTGCATTTACAAGATTTATTTTGCGAGATTTCTTCCATTGTTTCTTCCGGGAACTCCAATTCCCACAATCGTTTCAAATGTTTACCTCGAACATCGCGCGGTGTTCCGAATCCAGTCATTCCTCTCTAAAAATTTATCATCACATCTCTTTTCTCTCCTAATTGTAATTTTGTTAATTTTCTTTTGGATTAGATTTACCTGTGAATCACATTTATTAGTTCCGGATTGTAATCGAATGATTGAATCGGTAGTTCTTAATTGCTCAATTGTCCATTTCTTACCATTATCAGCAAATTGCACGTTAAGAGAAGTATTACGAGGCATACCAAAACCTGTTTTACCCTGCAAATTCACGAATATTACTTATGAAGGTAAATTACAAAGTTTATTTCTTATTGGGTGCGGCATTTTCAGTACTGTTATCTAAGCCTAATGGATAGCAATAAATCCTTTATCACCATTATTATCACTTCTCTCAGTTGAGCAAATTGTAATCACTGTAAAATCAATTCTAATTTACTGTGGCTCTTCAATGTGACAACCAATAGTTAACTTGTTCAGTGAATAAAGACAGACTTATTTTGTCAACAATAATGCACTAATGAGTTTCACTATTAAACCGAAAATTTGATTAAAAAATAAGGTCATACATCCATATGAATTGGAATTGGTGGTTTATAAATTTTCAAGAAGCAATTGTAGTTATTTTAATTAAGAAAGCTTCAGAGTTGCGTTTTTCAACTGATTAAATTAGTGGGAAGTTTTATATTTGTACATTTTTTATTCCTTAGATCAAAAAAATCTTTGCTCAACTTTCTAAAATTTTATTACTTTCCAAAAAAACCAGTTTCATTAGAATATTAGACTTTCTTTAGCTTTTACAAACTTCTTTGAATCATTGAAATGAAAAAAGAATCTTCTAATAAAGGAAGAAAAACTTTTTTTTTAATTATTTGGATTCTGATTAACTAAAAATTAAATTTTTTTACGATAAATTTATTAAATGCTCTTCAAACATTTTTATACAATCTCAAAAAGATTTTTTTGAAAAGTGCGTAATTCATTGATTGATTGTAGTAAAGTTTAGAACTTTTCAAAGTTCGAGACAGGATATAAATGATTTTGTTTCGAATCCACTTCAAATAGCTTCGGTATATATTATGAGTCATAAGGTGCGATGTTATCAATGCTTTAACTTTTCTCTCTCTCTCTCTCTCTCTTGTCAGTTGTTTTAATTTGTTTTGAAATAAATAAGGAATTTCGTTTCTTCATAATTTAAATTTAAACCGAGTGAAAATAAGGGACAAGAGGAACGATAAAGTATTATAACAATTATGATAGATTTTCTAACTTTTTGTGAATCGAATTGATTTGTTCCCGATTGTAACGGTACTAAACCATCAGTTTGTCGTAATTGTCCGAGAGTGAATTTGCCATTACGTGTACGTCGTTCATTTTCCGCTGTGGCCGGTGCCTCTACGTGAGCAATCTTCAAACCACCCTCTGACGTAACTGCAATGAATCACACTGAAAGTATTGATTAATGCTACATTTTATCATCCTTAAAAGAAGTAAAAAAAAAAAAAAAACATAGCCTAACGGCTGTAATCAAAACAGACTACTGGATATTCCGAGAAAATCTCAGAAGCCTCATTTCTTTTACCTGCAACCTTTTTTGCTAGTTTAATTTCTTAAACTGCAAAATTGCAAAAATTTCGGGAAAAATGAAATTAGCATATTTTTACTAATTAATTATCAGTACTGAAAATGAAACTTATTAAAAAGCAATTTTAGACTTAAATTTACATAAGTTACCTGTTTGTCTGAATATATGAAGTACTTTGTGAAGGAACTTTTGGAGACAAGACATTTGTCAAATAATATTCATATTTGATTAGGTTTGACGAAAGCATAAAAATATAGCTCATTTGTTAACAAATCTTTAATTGCTCAAAAAAATGAATTGAAATGGATTTAATAAAAGTTAGAAATCAATATATCTTCTGACCAGAATTTGCAAAGCAAAAATCACTCTTCATAATATTACAAAATAAAAAAGAAAAGAGAAATGAAACGAACGTGACATGGGCGAGGTAATGCTGGCCATATGATTCGAGCAAAATTTGTTCTCCTTTCCTGATCAGTTCAGGATGATAGCACCACACTACAGAAGTAAACTAAAATGAAATGATATGAGGGATAGCTTTAGCACTGGCTTGAGTGGTAAGTAACGCGAGAATATATCGATGATTGTGAGATCTGCTCGAGAAGATGTTATAAAGACATCTACTCCACCTCTACCTGACTCAACCATTGCTACTGTTACTGTTGCTAAGTGGAAGTGATAGCAAAATACAGATGTCATCCACTTTGTTGTACTTAGAACGGTGACAGACAGACAGATGATTGCTATTAATAGCGCTTCATTTTCTTCTACTTTTCTCGTTTTTTAACCAAACGATACACAAGAAAAAATTACTTTAACGTAATTTTGCTGTATGCCTGCAAATAAAAATTCATTTTCACTGTATTAATATGATAGTTATAATCAATCTGTTATCATTAGAGATGCGACTGAATGCTCAACAAAAAATGGCCCGGTGAACTTCGAGCTAATAGATACTTGTTAGCCACCTCAGTTTGAAACTTCGTCAGAACTTTTTATTCGATAAAAAATCTCGAAGAGCAATTTGAGATGATATGTTCTGCTTCATTTTAAATAATTTATCATTTGTTGGACTTAGCTTCTCATTATTTTGCATTTTCTGAGCATTTGTACAAAAATTGTCAAAAGCATAAAAAATAATAATTTCAAGCAGGCAACATATGCTATCAATTTAGTAATAATAAGCTGCTGGAATTCAGTTCATTTTTTTTTTGAAAGTTCCCATTTTTAGGATGAAAATTGTATAGCTGAATCGTAGCATTTCCAGTTTGTAGAGTGAGAATTATAAGAGTAATGAGGATGATATTAAATGAAAAGTGAAAGGAATATTGTCAGTGCAATATACGATATTTCTAATCAGTGATATATCTGAAGGCGAGGATTATCGTTTGTGTAATGAATTATCAATCGAATTGAGTTCCTACAAAGTGGTGACTGAAAGAAAAAGATCGTTCGTCAGAAACGCTAATATCCAAATGACAACAAAATGAATTACATTTGACAGACAGAATATCTTACATTTTATTGCTCTATTAGACAGAATATTTTAAGTTTCTTTTCATTTAGCTTAGACTAATTGGCTGCGGTTCGATCAATGTGAATTATTCAATAAAATCATCCCATAAGTGAACTATTGGAAAATTTCAGCAAGGAAGTATGAGAAAATTCTGTGGATTAAAAAAATTATCATAGTGGATATGAGAGGAGTAAATGAGGAAGACATTGCAGATAATGTCTAAGCATAGGCTTTATTTGAACTTTCAAAGCTGCTCACTCGTCTTGTTTATGACAAAAAAAGTAAATGCTAAATAATTTTAAGTCATAAACTTCAGATTGTTGTTGTATATCGATATATGTATGATAAAAGCATAATGGATCTTCAATCCCTTAATTTGTATTTATGATACAAATTAGTTCAGTGATGTCTAAATTACACAGTGGAATCTCTTTTGCTGATTTAAACTAATCTGCCAATTAACTTGTTTGCCTTTTGTTGTTGAACTTTAAAATTGATATTGAAAATAGATTTCAGGTACACAATTAAAGCATAATTTGCTAATGAGAAGTTTGATTGACTTTTTGAATGGAATATGCAAATAACAAATAATTCTCTTTTTCGCTATCTTCTGAATTGAATCGTATTGAATCGGAATAGTAAAATGAAGTGAATTAAAAAGTTTACATGTGGGTCAGATAGAACCACCTAATCTTTTATCCTTCCTAACTTTTCAACTCATGAGTTGGAAAGTTAGGAAGGATAAAAGATTAAATGGTCCTATCTGATCCACATGTAAACTTTTTAATTTTCAATTACATTCGTAACAAAATTGCAACATTCAAAATTCATAGTTCTTTTTGCACATTTGATAGAATCTCTAAGATATTTATAAAAAAAAATTCTTAACAAGCTGGTATTGCATAATCGATGGATGAAATGAAATGTTGTCGAATTTTTCGCATGTCACAACAAATCGATGATTTTTTTCTTTTTTTGCTCGAACTATTAAAAGTATCGTAAAAATGATAA